GGGGGGGGGAGGCGGCAAAGCGCCCCCCCGGGGGGAGCGGGAGCCTGGCGCCGCTCGGCCGGCGCCCAGCGAGCGGAACCGACGTCCCATTGGGGACCGCCGGGGCGGACCGGGCCACTGCGGAGCCGGGGGAGAAGCGCGCGCTGCACCGACCCGGGTACCCCTACTGGCCGCGCGGAATGGTACGGCCCGGCCGGAGTTAAAGCCGGGGAAGGCGGCGCGTCCCGAAGCGGCGGCGGTGCGATGGGGCTGCGGGCGGGAGGAGCGCTCGCTAGGGCCGGCAGTGGCCAGGGGTCGCCGGAGGGTCCCGGGCGGAGCGGCGGCGCTCAGGGCGGCAGCATCCACTCGGGCTGCATCGCCGCGGTGCACAACGTGCCGCTGCGCGTGCTCATCCGGCCGCTGCCGTCAGTGCTTGACCCCGTCAAAGTGCAGAGCCTCGTGGACACGATCCGGGTAAGGCTCCGGGGAGTCGGGCCGGCTGGAGGGAAGGTTCTGGAGGAGGGAGGTCGCACTGAAAGGGAGACGGAACTGGTCCTACCTCCGCCGGAGTTCATTAAGCATTTGCTGTGTGACCTTGTGCAAGTGCTGGGCCTCTCTGGGCCTCTGTTTGTTTTCTTGGGCAAGGAGGGGATTGGACGGGATAATTAAAGTAATTACCGCTGTCTCCTATAAAGAGCGCTTGCAGTGTCCTGGGAGCTGTTTTAAGTCTCTTAGCTTCCTGTACCAACCCTGTAGCCCTTCTAGAAATGAGAAACTGAGGCATAGGAAGATTCTAGCAGCCTGTTCAAGGTCAAGTAGGAAGTGGCAGAGCCAGAATTCACTGGCAGGCAGTGCCCAGGGCGCTACAGGGTCCTGAGATAAGCTGTGCCCGCCCTTCTGTGACAGTGGCAGTGGGACTGGGCATGTCACATTTGCTGGGAGGGCCTTGTCTGAACTGGAAATGGGAGAGGACGAGGGTCAACTACTGGCCGAGGGAGAGTGTTAAGAATGTTGGAGTGACCCTGGCAGGGAATGAGGTGGGTTTGGGGGTCAAGAATGTATGTGTCAGGGTAGGCCTGCATGGCATGGTGTCCCCTTCCCCCAGGCCCTCGGAAGGTGAGGGTGTGAGACCCCTAAGCTTCACCAACACTGGTGCTCCAACCTAAGGTCCTTCGCTCCTAGAATTTGCTTGTCTATCCCCCTCCTGGAGCCATCTCCCCAGACAGCCCCAGGGCCGGCTCCCCGCCTTACTCAGGTGCCAGCCTCCCTGAAGCCCCTTGCTAGTGCCCCCCCACCCCACGCCGGCTCTAGCTCTCCCCTTACCCTGAGGTATTTTCCGTGTAACTCTTCCACCAGAAATTGTGTTAGGTATTCCGTTGTTTGTGGCTGTCTGTCTCCCCACCCCATGCCATCTCCACAGGAACAGGGACCGGTCACACCTGACTGTGGGAGGGAGAGCGCCACCCGTGCGTGCTCCCTCAAGTTTATTTCTTTCTTCCAAGAGCAAGAGAGAGAGACAGTACCCACAACAGAGTCTTGACATCCATCCCCAGCCAAGCCAGCCCTGGATCGGGGCACACGTGTGCCCCCCGTGCTCAGGGACGGCTCCTGTGTGGGGTCACCTCACAGGGCATGGTCTTTTACCACTGTGCCACCGTCTGCCCCCTACTGAGCTTTTGCTTAATGTGTTCCCTTCTGGTCTTTGTATATTATTTACTTATTTTTCTATAGTGTGTGTTTGTGGGAGAGAGAGAGGGGGAAAGCGAGACATCACCTCCTTGGGGGTGCATAACCGCACAGCAACTCCTTCTCCATTCTCAAGATTTGGGGCACGCATGCCCATGTGCCCAGTATTTTTCAAGCCTCCAGGTCCAGGACTCGAATTTCACAGTCAGCCATGTGGAATCCAGTGCCTTCACCACCCACTACCAGCTGGCTCACACACAGTTTTAATGGCCTGGTGAGCCACCTACCTGCTGTGCCAGAACCATGTCCAGCACAGATCCAGCTTTGCTTACTTACTACTGGGTTAATCTTCTATGGCCACTGAAACAAACGGCCACAAACTTAGTGGCTTAAAACAACACAGATGAATAATTTTACAGTTGTGTGGCTCAGAAGTCCAAAACGGGTTGTTCTGGGCTGAGAGCAAGGAGTCCCCACAGCTGCGTTGCTTTCCTGATACTCTGGGGGGATCCATTTCCTTGCCTTTCACAGCTTCTAGCGGCCGCCCACACACCTCGGCTTGTGGCCCCTTCCTTTGTCTTCAGAGCCAGCAATATCAGGTCAATATTCTCACGTCACATCGGTGCGACCTCTTCTGCCTCCCTTTCCCGCTTTTAAGGACCCTGGTGTCTACGTTAGACTCATCTGGATCATCCAGGGTAATCTCCCCAGCTCAAGATTCTTAGTTCCATGTGCAAAGCCCCTTCTAGCACATCAGGAAATATATTCCTGGACTCCAAGGATTAGGATGTGGACATGGTTGGGGGCCGTTATTGTGCCTGCTCACCACCATGGCCCAGTGCCCAGCACAAGCCCACCTGGCACGGCTGCCCCTCGCTGGTGCTGACTCCTCACGTGCATCAGCTCTTTGATTTCCATCAATCAGCAGCCCTATTGGATGTCTTCTTCCCATCTTGCAGATGCAGGGCAGTGTGCAGAGAGGAGGCCACTTGCTCAGCTGCTCTGTAAAGCATCTGAGATTCAAATTCAGGTTTGACAGGTTCCACAGCGCCTGCTCGGAACCAGCTGTGTCTGGAGATTAATAATTATCTGTGGAGCGGCCAGCAGGTGGTGTGGTTGTTAAAGCACTGGATTCCCACATAACTGACCACAGTTCAAGTCCTGGACCCAACGGCTTAAAAATCATGCCAGGTGCGTGTGCATGCATTCCAAAAATCCCGAGAGGAGAATAGAGAAGGGATTGCAGCATGGCTGTCCCCCAGGAGGTGATTTCTCACTTTCTTTTTCTCTCCGGTAAGTGCACATGCCCTTTGGCAAAACCTAAAAGGCTAAGTTTTTAAATTATTTGTGGAACATGTAGATAAATAATTCAACAGCCATGTCAGAGAGAACCCGTGAGCTAGCAGCAGGAGGCCTGCTAGGCAGCATGCACTTACTGGGGCCCCCCAGTGGGCTCTGCTGTCTACCCATTGGCTTGAACCTTGCTGTTCCTCAACCCCTCCAGTCTCAATCCCTCTAGGCCCTCCTAGTCACACTGGCCTCTTTGCCGTGCCTCCAAATAATAGACTTGTTCGGACGTCAGGCCCTTTGCATCTGCTGTTCCCTCGGTCTGGAATGCTCTTCCCTCAGACGGCCCCCAGCAGGAAATCAACTCAGATTCTCTTCTTCTTCTTCTTGCCCTCATGTCCTCCCCCTCCACAAGCCCCTTGGGATCTGCCCCCTACATGTGTCCCAAACCTAGTTGCCTCTCTGTGTCATCCAGGCCAGAGACCTCTGCTGAATACTTGCAGGGGAACTGCCTCCTCCTTGCTGTGCCCTTGGCCACCCCACCAAACCTGTTCTGAGACAGCTTTCTAGAATGCATCAGATCATGTCCCCCTCCAGGCCCTGCCTGCTGCTCTTAGCAATGACCTATTGAACCTTGCTGTTCCTCAACCCCTCCAGTCTCAATCCCTCTAGCCCCTCCTAGTCATACTGGCCTCTTTGCTGTGCCTCCAAATAATAGACTTATTCGGACGTCAGGCCCTTTGCATCTGCTGTTCCCTCGGTCTGGAATGCTCTTCCCTCAGACGATACCCAGCATACATCACTGAGCGCTTCCACATGCCAGGAATTGTTCGAAGAGTGATATGTATGAACTCATTTACCTCAGCCGTTCTCTGAAGGGGGTCTGCTGTCATCTCCACTGAATAGACAGGGCAACTGAGGCACAAAGAGGCCAACTACCCTAAATCAATCACATAGCTATTCAGCAGCAGGGCTGAACTTTGAACCCGGGCATTTGAACTCTTCGTCTAAACTATCCCACTTCTCTGTTTTCCTGTGTGGCTCTCTTTATTGTCGCCTCAGAGATGGGGGCCTTGTGGATCCCCATCCCTGTCATGTCAGCTGTTACTGTCTTTATAGCATTCGGCACTCTAATATTCACCTCTGTTTCATTTCCCCTTCCTTCTTTCCTCCCTGAAGCCCTGGGAAAGTAGGGGCTCTGTGTGTCTTGCTCTAGCTACCTTATTCCCAGAGTCCAGAACAGGATGTGGTGTAGAGCATGCCTGTGGTAGGTTGACAGATGTTTAACAACTTGGTCTCCAGGGAGAGAGAGATACCTGGTTTGTAGCATCGGCCCATGTTCCTGGTGTAAATGCTTTCACCATGGCTGCTTTTCTAGCTACCAAGATGATGGCAACCAGCTCACAAAATTCCCAGATATTTAGCTGTCATCTTTCATAAAGCAACGCGAGCACCCTGTAGGAGCTCCTCGCAGGTGGACAGTCTGCTTTGTGAGCTTTCAAGCGCTGTACCATCCCCATTCATCTTGTTCTCCTTCTTTCCAGGAGGACCCAGACAGCGTGCCCCCCATCGATGTCCTCTGGATCAAAGGGGCCCAGGGTGGGGACTACTTCTACTCCTTTGGGGGCTGTCACCGTTACGCAGCCTACCAGCAGCTGCAGCGAGAGACCATCCCGGCCAAGCTTGTCCAGTCCACCCTCTCGGACCTGAGAGTGTACCTGGGTGCGTCCACACCAGACTTGCAGTAGCCTCTTTAGTGCCAGCCACCACTAACCCTGATGGCCCAGAAGACACACCCAACCTCCAGTGGGCTGGACCATGCAGAAGGT